CCCACATTCATGGCTAATATAACAGTGGAAGTTGATGCAAAATGAGATCATATGGAAGATAAAGAAACTGCTGCACCACTGCCTCAGCTCAGCACAGCTATCTCTTCCCTCAGGGCTTCTGACTCTCTCAGGATGTGGGTTTCCACACTGTGTCTCTCATACAGTAATACACAGCAGTGTCCTCAGCCTTTAGGCTGCTGATCTGCAGATGCACTCTGCTGACAGAGGTGTCCATGGAGAAGACAAATCATCCTGTTTAGCCCTGGGCATACGTTGGGTTCCCAGGGTTGGTGTTCATCCATCCCATCCACTCAAGCCCTTCTCCAGGGACCTGTCTCACCCAATTCATACCATAGGTGGTAAAGCTGTAACCAGAAGCCTTGCAGAAACCCTTCACTGAGGCCACAGGCTGCTTCACCTCAGGCCCAAACTGCACCAGCTGAACCTGGGAGTGGGCACCTGTGGAGAGGACACAGGATTGCAGGAAGTCTCACTTGACCAGCCTGGTTTCTCTGTCAGCCCTGGGACTGGGGAGCCCCTTAACTTTTGCTGCTGCCACCAAGAAGAGGATCCTGTAGGTCCTGTCCACGGTGAGGAGCTGTGCTGTTGGTGGGGTGTGGTCCCGAGGAGGGTGTGGTTGTTGGGTGATGCTCTCAGGGCACAGAGTTATCTGTATTAGCCTCAGTGATTGGCATATTCTTGAAGGATGCTATTTAATAGCCCAATTTCTGACCCAGTATGAGAAAGAGAAAATACATGACACATGGACGACACAGTTGTAGAAGCTGAGGGTTCAAACCGTAATCCTGTTAGAGGCCATGTGTCCCCTACACATCCCTGAACTCTGTGTTGACAGAGGTTCCCCCACTGGAGAACAAGCTCCCCCAGGACACGCAACTCACTTTGAATCCACATTTGAATGAATCAGGGGCAACTTGAACCATTTCTAGACCTTAATATGCGAATGCGTTATTTTGGGAATGACTGTGTTTGTCCAAAAATTGCACTGATTTAAAAGAAAGGAGCTCTTCCTGACCTCCAGCTGCTTACTATTAAGATAACTAGCAGAGTTTGAAATCCCCATTGTGAAAGTGGTTCTCATTACAACATCCAGTTTGATAAATGCTCACAATTGAATGGAATATTTATACAAACATCAGAAGTCCTTCTGAAATACTTATATTAGATATTTTTAAAGGAAGTCCGGGGCCCTGAGAGGAACCCTCCCCAGCGTGCTGTGCACCTGCTCTGGGGCGGGAGCCTGTGCTGGGTTTATCCTGAACGCTCCCTGCAACCCAGCCCCTACTCAGCAGGAGCGTTTCTGTCTGAGCTTACAGAGTATATTCCTACCAGTGTTTCTAGCCCGGTATAAAGTGGCTGTGCCCTGGCTCAGAATTCTCCTTTAGTGACACAACATGCTTCTCACACCATCTTTTGAAATACTGAATTGGCCTTCAGAAACCCAGAGAACTGTACAGGGAGACCTGAAGAAAAGATCTCCTGCATCACTGGGGAGCCCTTTCCTGGAGCTCCAGAGGCACTGAATCCTTTGACATATGGTGAACCCAAAAAACTCTTCAGGGATTTGTCGGGAGATTCTTATTTTCTTTAGGGTCTTGCAGTTGATTATTGCACCTGAGAATACCTGCAGGTGCAGTTGCAGGTGGACAGAAGCCCAATTCAACTCTAGTATTCAAATAACACACACACACACACACACACAGTGGCTAATTTTAACATTAATCGGCCCACTTTTTTCCTTTCTTTTGTGGTATCCATGTCAAGGAAAGCACTCCCTACACTGGCACTAAGGGTGAGTATGTGTCTACTTTCTGCGAACAGAAGAAAACAGAATACAAGTAGACACCTGGGAATTGCATGCACATTGAATTCAGCTGGTCTCACTTTGGAACCCTGCAGACGTGCCATGAAAAGTAAATTTGAGGCTAATGAGGGTGAAATCATTTCCTTGGTGCTGAAGTTGCTATTGTCAGAGCCTTCAAATTGCTCTATTTTCCTCCTCAGATAGAGTTTGTGCATTGCCACACTCTCATATTTAATCCATATTGACTAAACTGGTGAGATGTAATGTGTGGAACACGGAAGCATTACACGTTCTTACAGATGAATCTTAATACTCTGGTGATCTTCTTTCTCTGGACTGTGCCCGATACAGGAAGTCTCCAGGTGTGAAGCTGATTTTTGCTCTTTTCTCGATGGAACATCACAGGAAAATTTTTGTAAATGTGCCCCTTTTGGCTAATTGTAGCCATTTTCGTGATAAAGGAAGCCTGTAGGGATGGGCTTGTAATGGGGATGGATTACCTTTCCCCACATACATAAGGATGTAAAAATGGGTTGTCTGCCTGAAGAAGGTCTCAGTGTTTTATCAGAGATTTGGTCTCCTGGTAATACAGCCATGCAGGCATCTGGGTGGATTCTCGCCCTGAGAACCTGGAGGTTCCTGGAGGAAAGGGCGATAAGAGTATGGGGGGGTGGGGCCCCCAGGATCTCTCA